TTTTATAAGACGCCAGTATGCAGCACTGCTTGTGCATAGAGAAATAAACAGCGTGTCTCTGGGCTTTACAGTTCATTGGGATGGGAGAAGTCCACCAGACATCAGTACGCTAAGTTGAATAATAAAGGGGTCAAGACCGTCACTGTTTGCAACCAGTGCCAGGCCCTGGTGGCCCGAGTACGTTTTCTTGCAGTCACGGCAGTATATTGGTTCCATGTGTAAGTCAGGCGGGGCTGTCTCGCAGAGGACAGAGGTGCCGCATTGTAGGGTGTGTCAGGGCCCGTGCCTTGCCTGCCAGCCTCCTGTTGCCAGGGCCACATCCTGTTCACCTTCCGTTACAGTAGCTGCTTGTGATTCATTGGTGGGAGTGACAGGTGTTACTTTGAGAGGAAGGCAGAGCCTTCAGTCTGTAGTGAAAACCCCGGCCAGCTCTGGAACGTGCCCAGCCAGCTCTGGAACGTGCCCAGCCAGCTCTGGAACGTGCCCAGCGGGTGCTGATGATGTCTCGGTTGCTGGAGCCCCCAACTCCTCCTTCCAACACGGATGCTGCTGTGTGAGCGAGCTCATCGCCTCTGTAGCATCTCCAAGGTGGGGACCCTTCCCCCCAGTGTTGCTTTTCTTAAGGACTTTATTTTATGTTATTTTTTTGACAAGTGCATTTTTAGGTGGCAAGTGTTATTTCAAGATGGTGTCATTGTGTTGTATGTCAAGAAATGCCTTGATCTGCTAACTTGTCATTGCTGCGACTGGAAAGCACACATTTCAGGGCCACACAGGACTGCACGCGGCTGTGGGCTCTGCCTGGCCTTTCCTGCGTGTTAAAAGTCCGTGTGGTTTTCCCACTTCCGAGTTTCTTGGCAGAGAGCAAGGGCGCAGTAACCGATATTGGTGCACATTAGTATATGAAGCCCATACTGTAAGTCAAGGGAATCCCTTTCATTCCTGGGCAGATGTTTTTCCCCATAGGATTTTATCTTTCGGAAATTCCAAATACGTTTACTACAAAGACAAGCTGTTTCGCCCTGCATCTTTGTAAGCGTTTTTAATCACTCATCAACTAAATAAGTGAATGTTTGAAAACGTCCTCAGATTTTTTTTAAAATGTGGAGATTAAAAAGCACCTCGTGGGCTCAAAGTGGGTCACCCCATTCAGCCTCTGAAATGGATGAGTCAGCAGCACCCGGACATTTTATTTCTATAGATGTCGCTGTGGAAGGCTTGCTAGGCGGAGGACGTTCTGACCTTCTTTTGTGATCAGTGCCTTTTTGCCTCTATAAGCAGATTTTTACCTTTCTGCCTGGGCCTGCCGTACCAAAGCTGCTCTGTTAGCCTAACAGGCATGGAAGTTTTCAGTGCCTACTGTGTGCTTGTAGTGCACTCTGCCGGGTGCCTCGGGTACCCAGAACCCACAGTTCTCTGAGGGCAGTGGGACGAGATGGGGAAGAAGGGGGAGGAGAGATGATGACGGTGGTTAGGTTGTTTCTGGCCGGTCCAGGCTTGAAGATGATTTGGCATTAACGTAAAGGCTGTGAAGCAGAGAGAGCATCACCAGCCGTTCCAGTAGTGAGTGTTTCAGCAGCATCCGAGGCAGCCCGGGGTCCTCTGCATCCCAGGCAGAAGCCACAAAGCATCTTCACGCCCGACATGGGAAGTTTCAGACTGTCACCTCTTCTACATCTTGTTGACAAGCAGAGGTCGTAAGTCAGGAAGGTCAACCTACGTTAGGGAAGAGGAAATTAGACTCCAGTTTTTCAGTAGGGCAGTGAGGAGGGATTTGTGACCTACCAGACTATGTTCCTTGACAGGAGAGTCTCATACAGAGACCTTGAAGAGAAATGGGTAGAGGGACATTGGGTATTCGTGGCTGATGACCAAGTGCACTTTGAGACAAACATCAATGTTCGTAGGTCGGAGGGGTCTGGGAAACTTGTGTGGGAAGATGGGGGCAGAGTGCTTTCTTAGGGTTCTGCTGCTCGGAGGGCGGGGGCTACCGTGGAGGATCAGCTGGCCTTGTATTGTTTTTGTGAAGCTGGTGAGGTCACCCGTGGGCTGTTGTAGTCCAGATCATGGTTGTGCCTCTACCTACTGACCTGGTGCGATACTCATGGAGTTGTGACTTTGTGATAAGACTTTCTCCTGGGCTGGGTCCCTCTGCCCACGCCTAAGAAGGGTGGTTTCCCTCGTGGCTCCCATTTGTAGGCGTCGGCATTCTGCATCATCTCGTGCATCCTCGTGAGCTCTGCTGCCGGACCTGTGACAGCTGTCCTCTGTGTCCTCTCCGGCTACCTGCATCTCCAGTGCTTATCTTTGCAGTGGCCTCACCTTGGTCGGGCCAGAGCCTTTCTGACTTTTCCTTTCTCTGTTTATGCTGCTGAATCGTTTGAATTTTCTTCCTCCACAAGCACAGCCCGTGGAGCGTTGCATGGGTGTGGACCTGGAGCCTGCCCTTGATGGGGGACGTCCTGTGTATATGTCAGCAAATCACTGTTGGCCAATAGGGAAGCAAGATAGTCGAGGAGGATTCTGGGAAAGAGAGACAACCATGTAGGCGCCAGAGGAGTAAAGAGTCCGGACCCCTTTCAATTCTGGGTTAAATACTTAAGTCAGAGCTAGCCAGTAAGAAACAAGCAAGGCCAACAGCTTCATAATTAATACAGCCTCCTGTGTGTTCATTTGGGACTGCTGCGGCTCTGGAACAGGCTGGCGGGAAGACAACACACTACATTCCCGTATCTGTGTAAGACTTCCTAGTCCTGCTGACTTTACGACACCTCAAGACAATGCTAAACCTTCTGTGTCATGCCCATTTCCACCATTTTGCTTTCAATCGACCTGTGGAATTTTCTGGGCTCATATAACATGCGAGCACCCACTTGGTGGGGTGAAACATTTTCGAAGTCCTGGAAGGCTCATGGCTGAGGTCAAGGTGTGGACAGGGCCCCACTCCTCTGAAGGCTTCAGGGGAGATCCCTCCTTGTTTCTTTCCAGCAGGAAGCTGACTCGCATCGTAGCAGCTCTAGTCCCGGGCACTATAGATATTGAATGAACGGCGTGGGAGCTTAAGCTACTTAGAAGCATGTCTCATCTTCATCATTGCTTTTCCACCATAGTTTTGTTTCCAATAGAATTTTCACTTGTCGTCTAGATACATTAAGTAGCCATTCTGTCCACACACTGGTTTATTTAACCGACAGTAGCTGTTCATCTGTGCACAGACACAGGCACTTTAAATTGTTTCTGCATGTGTTGCTATTTCTGACTCCTTCTCTTTGTGCTGGATGCAGTTTTGAGGCTGTAGAAAAGAATTTCACGAATAAGGATTAAAGTACACTCGAACCAACAAGAGCCCTTATGAATTCTGCTCCCCTCACTTTTTTCTCAGTCAGAGTGTGACGTTCCCACAGCTCTGTGATTACACGCCTTAGGCTACCCACAGAAAACAGTTAGTTGTCCCTTGTCCCAGTTTCTTGTGTCCTAGGATGAGGAGGATGTTGGCCAGGTTGGACCGGATGTGAGGTGGAGAGGGGCAGAAGATGTCGGCCATACCATCTTACCAAAGACAGAGAGTGAGGGGAGGGGCAGCCTCGGGAGAGGAAGGTTAGGAGCAGAGAGCTACCCTGTGCCTGAGGCACACTTCCCCTGCCTGGAGTGTGTGGGTGAGCCACGTGTGGCCTGGGAAACCGTGAACACTCCCCTGCCAGTTGTTGGCCGCCTGGACTTTATTTAGTTGCTTCCTGGTCCTGAGTTAAATGGTGTCAAAATACCCAAAGGTGAGTTTATAATGATTGTTTACGTGTGAGTGCTTGACAGTGGTGACTGCAGATTTGTGGAAACTGCATTTTTTTTTTTTACCTTGCCTAAGGGGGACAAAAGAGAGGATTAAAACTTGAAACATTTCTTTAGTCTAGAGTCGTCTCTAGGTAGCTGGTTCCTTTTTGATGGGCATGGAAGCGTTTATTACTAGCACAGTACAAATGACTTGTGTGGTAATATGAGACCATTGTCTGTAGAGCTGCTGACTCAGCTCTTAGACATCACCCAGGCCCCTTTGTTCCAACTTCTGCAGTTCCCAGGGGCCTCACCCTCCCACGCCCCAGCTCTCTCCTGAGTAGAGTGGGAGAAATGGAGGCAAGCCCAGGGTCTGCGGGGCATGGCAGAAGCAGGAACCACCACCAGAGCGGTGGCTGTTCCCACCGGATCGTGGAGCAGCTGTGTTTATCTGAGTAAATTTATGTGACTCCCCTTCACTCTTCTGGAGAGGAGATTCTCTGTGTTGCCAGCAAAGAATCTTAGTCAAATCCTCATAGCCACTTGGGAGATCAGTAAATCTGTGGTTAGCACATGCAGCTGAAGCCAGACTGTGAGCTGTAATCCTGAATTTCTTTAAACTCTGTCATTAGCTAAATGCAAGAAACCACCCCGTGACTTGTTTACTTGCCAGGTTTTCTGAGAGTGGGCTGAAACTCCTGTATAATTTGTACAAGCTGTTTCCCCCGTTAACCTTGCAGTGTAGGGTTCAAAGTAATGAGAGTGCGTATAGGATTCAAAACTCTGAAGCAAGTAACTAAATTTGGTCTTTTGCGAATAAACATTGTAAAGAAGGCATGAACGTGATTTGGAGAGTGAGAGATGAGTTCCAATTAGCATACTTTTCCCTAACTAGTTCATTTAAAATGTTTCTCAAGTGCTTTCCTGAGGTCTGTTAGAATTGTACTAGCCGAATCAAGCCAGCTCTGCAGAATACTCATTTGTCTCTTCCTAGAAAGATTTGAAGAGTCTGTCTTCATAGAATAGGAAACCTATGATTACTTGTGCATCACTTTTAAATGAAGTCCCTGGGAGTGGTTTGGATTTTATTGCAGCTGGTCTACTTGCAGCCCTCCCCTTCCGTGGGGGCTCCGTGAGCAGCTCTCTGACCATTGCTGTTCCCCTAACCTAACGCCCGCACTTGACGCTGTTAAAGCTTACAGAAAAACGAGAGCTTTTTTTCTCTGTCTTAGGTACAATGGTGCTTTGCCTAATGGCGACAGGGGCAGGAGGAAAAGCAGATTCGCCCTCTATAAGCGGACCAAGGCCAACGGCGTCAAACCCAGCACAATCCACGTGGTCTCCACACCCCAGGCATCCAAGGTAGGTAGGTGGCTGTGGCAAACGGTGGTGGTGCTCATAGTCTTCGTCCTCCGGTCTTGTTTCCGTGTAGGACATAGCCCCTCGGCCGCGTGAGGCTGGAGAATGCTTGTAAGGAGTGTGCTGCGTGCCGTGAGATGTTTAGCAGCACCCTTGACCTTGATCCAGTAGGTGCCCACAGCGTCTCTCTTCCTGCTCTCCACTGTTAACGCTAAGGCCTGTCTGGAGACGGTTCAGGATGGCCGGGCAGGGGATCTCTGGAGTCCGTGCACCGTGGGAAACAAGGCTGCTGGCGTTCATCAAGCTACAGTTGCACTCGAAAGGCACGCGATGATGCTTTTTCTCTCAGGGGTTTTTGTCTTCAGTCTGGATAAGCTTCTCAGAGATCTGAAATTTTCCTTCTGTCGGTGTAGTGCAGCGTGGTTCACACCGGATGTTTCTTGGAGTTGAATTTGCATGACTACTATGTTGTGAAGTACACAGGTCTGCTTGGTATGGGATGTTCCCTGTGCTTATTTCCCTCCAGTAAGATGGCGATGGTATGAGTAAGAATGACCTCCTCAGGTCATATCTCTAAATGTTTGGTCCCCCTAGTTGATGGAGCTCCTTGGGAAAGATTAGGCACTGTGGCCTCATTGGAGAAGGCGTGCCATTGGGGGGCGGGCATTGAGGTTTCCAAAGCCTACAGCAGGCCCACTGTTAATGTGTCTGTGCTTGGTGCCTGTGGCCCAGGATGTAAAGCTCTCAGCTGCTTCTCCAGTGCCGCCCAAGCCTGTCTGCTCCCTGCCTGATGATCGTGGACTCACCCTCTGAAGCTGTAAGCAAGCCCTAATTAAATTTTTCTAAGAGTTGATTTGGTCATGGTGTTTCTTCACAGCCATAAAACAGTAACTGAGACAGAGTTTGAAGAAAATAAAATGTTAACTTTAAAAAAGGCACGTGTTCTCTGATAAATGAGCAAGAGAAAAATCTTGAGTTTCCAGTCTGATTGTCAGTGTAAGTTATTACTACGACAGATTTTTGCATGTTACAGTTATGGCAAAATTTCTTTCAGTAAAATCAGTTCTTTGCTATATAGTGTTGCCTTTTTGGTAAAATATTAATGTGTGATGTTTCTTATGGGGTTGCTGGGTTGTTTGTGATGATGACTTTGAACAAGCTGGACAAAATACTGGTTACATTTCTACTGGACACCAGTCTTCAGGGAACACGATGTTCCCTGGGAGTCAAGTGTAGCGTGTAGTAACTGTGGTCAGCTCGTGAACACTTGGGTGGTAAGTAAGAAGCCCTGAAGCAGTGCCATCAAGAGAATCCGATAAAACGTACCAGCTCAGATGGTCTACGAACAATGGCCAGTGGCTACAAAGGAAACACCAAGTACCAAAGAGAGAGTGGACATGTTTTTGGCTACGGAAAGAAACAATGTTGAAAGAGGAAATGACATAGGTAAATCTAGCTTTACCAAGATCTGAAGAATGGAAGAAGGAGAGTGGCGACAAGGTCTTGGGAGGTCAAGGACACCAGAAACGTTTTATAGCTGTGTGACAAGTATACTGACGCTGGTTCACTTTCAGGAGGTGGCAGTTTACGGTGGCCGTGATGACACGGTGGCCAAGCGGCTCACTCCCTGGTGACGAGCGTTTTCAGTGCAGTAGCCTTTTCACTGTGGTGAGCCAGGAGGCGAGAGATGGGACTGGAAAGCAGGCCGAGCACAGGGTCCTGAAAGGACTGCCTCCAGCCGTTCAGCCAGCTGTGTATCCCTTCCAAGGTCTGCAGCCTCCCTAAACAGCGCCATCTGCTGGGGGTGACACACACACAAGCCTGTGCAGGACATGGAAGAGCTTTTGACAAGGAAGGAGGACCAGACAGATGATTGAGAGTACGAGTGCCCACAATATCTGTAGTATAAATGCAGTCCTTTTAGTTTTGTATAGCCCTTGACGTTTAACTTCCTTTCCTTTGTATTGAATCAGTACTGTTGCTCATTGTTTCCTTTTTAATTCAATAATTTTATGTTAATAGAATGGATGACAAAAGCCACAGAGAGCTGGGAATGTAACTTGGCAACAGAGTACTTGCCTAGCATGCACAGGGTCCTGGATTTGGTCCCTAACAGCGCGCGCGCGCGCGCACACACACACACACACACGCACACACGCACACACGCACACACGCACACACGCACACACGCACACACGCACACACGCACACACACACACACACACACACACATACACACGCACACACGCACACACCCTGGTGACCTAGGCTCATTCTGAGATGAAATGTAAAACATTGTAGCTATGGAGTGTATGGGCTCAGTGGCTCTTCTTCTTTCTCAACCTTTCTTACTGCCAGTTTTATCTTTTATTGGTTTACCTATATGCTTAGGTTTGCTTCAAGCTATTTCAATAATACGTCTGCTAGTAAGTTGTCCAAGTCTGTGTTTAAACATATTACTCATAGTACTAAGCATTAGGAACATTGGGTCTTGACTCTCTTTGTAATCTGAAAAAACAATTTGTTTCTTTCAGCACCTCGGGATACTCATTTGTAAGCTAAGCAAACTGTGACAATAAGAAGGGAGCCATGATGTACTTTGGTTGTAAGCAAATTTTGGCTCTAGCTAGCGGGCCGTGCAGAGTACACCCACATGTGTGTGGCCAAGCCTTGCTTGCCGCTACATTTTCTTGGATGGCCCTTCCTGTGTCTGAGTTGCATTCAGCCAAGGACAGAGTTTCATCATGCTTACATGTTTAACTGAATCTGTAAAGCAGTAGGCTTCGTCGTGGGACAGGCAGTACTGGGGAGCTGAACTCCCAACTCCCCACGCACCCTTATTATTCTTTCTATCTCTTTTAGGCCGTGGCATTAGACAGGACTGCATTCTGCTGCTGTTCTGTCTTCTCTGTTGACATTTCCAGTTCACCTAGATGCTGATCCTGGCTGCACATGCTGACCTGTGGTTTACTCCTTCGTGCATTTCAGTGACCTGGTGTCTGGCCCGGTCTTTCTCGCCACACCTCTGTCCTTGTTCCTCCCCTCTGCCTCTTTCTCTTTTTGGGGTGGAACAAAGATCTCTCTTTGCCAGTGGTAAACAGAGGGAGATAGGGCCTCTTAGTCACCCACGAATGCCAGCCTCTATGCGGAGGCAGATTAGGATGGCATGGCACGCCTGGGCTATTGCTGGATGATCTCTATTTGTACAGCCCTTATTTGTGTACATATTTGCTCTTGGAATACTACAGGTATTCTTTGATTATGTACTGTGCTTATAAAGCACCAGGATCACAAGTCCCGCTTTACTTCTGACAGACCTGTTACATAGGCATAAAGCCTCCTAATTTATTCACCCATTCATTAATTCAACAAATATTTATCCAGCACCTTCCACACCCAGGCACCATGCCAGGTACTGGATAGACTGCCTTGAACAAACACATCGGCGCGGAGCTAATTGGGCAGTGTAGGCAATCAGTGGAGACTTACTTGAGAGGTGCTGGGAGAAAAAAGACACAAACATGGACCAGGTAGGCGTGGGAGGGTCTCAGAGGAAGGGGACATAAGCTGCAGGCTGATTAGGAAATGTTGGGGGTGGAGCTGACCAGGGGAGCAGAGGGATCAGGGCGTAGCTGGAGGATTTGACCTTTTCTGGATGGAAACATTGGGCAGCGTTGAGCTGAGGGAATGACATGATATGACTTGAGAATGTACTCTTTGTGAGATGGAGAGGCTAGTTTACTGTTATTCCACCAGTCAGGAGATAGTAATGGTGCCAGTATCTGATCAGGGATATTTTTGCTAGCCACTGCTAAATTTAGCAGCATCACTATGGAAAACTCCACAATAGTTTTTCTCTTCTTAGATTATGTTTTACAGAAATCTCCTTTGGGGGATATTTTCACTTTCCAAAAGTAATTGAAAATCACTTTGTCCCCTAGTATTTCATAGTGGAAAAATACTAGTATTTGAATGATGGTTTAGAAAATGGTTAAAGCATCTTTACAGGAGTCCAGGGCTGCTCTTTGGTCTGCGTCCTCTTTATGTTGCTATGAGAACGTACATTAGCTGGGTACTTTATGAAGAGATTTGTTTGTCTCAACTGTGCTTAGAGGGCCTAGGTAGTGTTCCACTTGCATCCTGGCTGTCACAGTGTGGTGGAAATGTCGAAGGGGAACAGGCCAGCTGCTGTTGGGAAGTGTGCCAGTGAGGAAATGGATCACGTAGGCCTGGAACTGCTCATCAGAACACTGGCTCTTGGGGCAACTTAGCTAGTCTTTTGAGATCTTACCTTCTCTGTAAGATCAGCACTCATCCCTTCTGAGGGTGGTACCTGAGTGGCTGCCTCCTGCAGGTGCACCACCATCCACCGTTGCTAGACCAGGAGCCAAGCTGCCAGCACACAAGCCAGCCATTGGGGACAGACCACACCCAGACCACAGCGGTGAGTTTGCATTGGCATAACTCTAGTGGTTGATGTCGTATCCAAAGTCTTCTGTGTCACTCTTATGAATGTAACAGTAATTGTGGGAAGTGGTAAAACTAACATAATTTTCAGTGTTAGCACCTTAGCTTGAGCTAATTTGTAGGATTTAATGAGGGCAACTCATGTAGCATGTGTCTTAGTCGTACTGAAAAGCTTAGCTGGACTCTTCTGTGCCTCGGGAGAAGCACCAGTCATCAGTGTCTTAAGGCCTGTTCACTAATGCTGCTTTTAAATCGTTTGGTTTTATATAGTATTGATTTTGGTTTCCTTTATAGTCATTGTATTACAGTTCTTCAGTTAGTAGTGTCTGCTTTTTTTTTGTTTTTGTGAGAAAGGGTATACTGTGTAGTTCAGGTTAGCCCCAAACTCACTATCTCCCTGCCTTAGTCACTTGACTACAAGTATGAGTCACCACACTCAACTGTGATATTTTTAATTTCAGTAACTAATGAAATTATTATAAACAATTAATGAAGTATTTTGTCATAATTCAGGTAACAGTGTTTTGATAAGTCTTTTCCGTGTAGGTACTGTAAGTATGAATATTCTAAATCTGTAAGAGGAGAAAAATGAAATAATAAGCTGCAATGCTGAGAATCTCTTGAGTCTCTACAGGATACAAACTGAAAACAAATCACTTCGTTCCTAGAACAAGCAACCACTTACTCAGTAAAAATGGAGGTACAAGTAACCTTCTAGAACACCGAAGTAATAACGTGCAAAAGATTTTTATTAATGAATGTTGATAGAATGAAGACAAGACACCTGTGAGGTGCCAGCATGCTGTGAGGTTCAAATGATTTCCTGACAAAATATCAAGACTTTCCAAAATAGTTCTTGTAGGAATGGATCATGTCAGTTTAAATGTATGGTTGTGATCCTTAGAAAACATATCTAGTGAGATGATAAAGCACCATTTAGAAAACTCAAAAATCAAAGCAGTAAAACCGGAGACATTATTGATGAAGCTCCAGCTATTTTACATAGAGGTATAATTTACTTAAAAAGCAATACTGAAGACTTTGAAGATGGCACGATGGCTTTTGTTGATTTCATGGAGCTGGAGGGAGCGGCATCTGTAATATATTAAATTTTATTGTGGTTCTCAAGAAGAATTCATGAAAAATGGCTTCCATGAGCTGTATTTACAGACCTTACGCACTTTGCCCAGATGATGCAAGTGTGGTGCTGGGGAGAAGGCCCTTACCTGGATATCTGGGTGACTGTAGACACGAGTAATGCAGTCAACCTCTAGATAGCATCTTTTTAATTCATCTGGATTCCCCGGGTGACTATAGACATGACTAATGCAGTTAACCTCTAAATAGCATCTTTTTAATTCATCGGTTCCTAGGATTTGGCCAGTTGTTTTCAAAACACGGTAGTGCGAAGAAAGTGAAAACCCCATCTAATGAGTAATTTCCATGCGTAGGTGGCGGTAGCAACAGTGGGTGTGTGACTCTCGGGGTTGCGTCAAGAGCAGGTGTACTGAGTGTGTGCTGAGGAGGAGGACTCGGAACTGCTCCCCAGCGCTGCCAGGTCCTTGTGTGTAGGGACGTGTTCACTGCTTCCCTCAACCAGGTGGAGTCATGGACGCGTTTGGCTTCTTCACTCAAATCCTAGCTCAGACACTGAGTCCCATGCACACTTACTTCAAAGAAAGGATCACACTAACAGTTTCTAACAAGTAGCAGATGGCTTGGAATTCAGTGGGGTGACATGGTGAATGATTGATGTAGCCTGCAACGCTTGAGCATAGTTTCCTAGTATGAATACTAGGAAATATATGGGAATGTTTTTAAATATTTAAAACCAACTTCCTTACGGTTTTAGGATCTGAAACAGCATGGTTCCTTATGGCACTTCTGTGAGTCTTTGGAGTAGGTTTCCATATGTCATATAATATATCTTAAATTAAAATTAGAAGTCTGATATTCACGATTCTTACATCAAGTACTTCCAAAAAGGTGATGGATTGATTGAGAATATTGGGATTTTCTGAGTTTTAGCAGTTAAAATGTTTGGCACTAGTATTTTTTTTTTGTGTGTGTTCTCTAACACTCTGTTGTGCTAATGATAGTGTGTGACTCTGCTTTGCTGTGCAGTGTGAATAGAAGAGCTCACACTTCAAATAAAAGAGAGTCTCTTGTATTTACTTTGATTGGTGGAATAGTTTGCCCTATCCACATGCAAGGGGCCCATGCCTTAGTCTCTGGGACTTGTGAGTCCTTTGCCTCTGTGGCAAAGGAACTCTGCAGACAGATTAAGGCGGGAACTTTAAGAGGGATTATCATGGATCTCTGAAGAATGACTGAGAGATGAGGGCAGAGGGACAAAATGGACTTTGAGATGGAGGGAAGAGGACCATAAATCAAAGAATGCATGCATCCTCTAGAAGCTAGTGGCAGATCTATCAGCCCCTAAGGAAATACAGCTTCAGTCTTAACACCATGGGATGTGACTGAATGGCTTAGAGACCGCTTTTCCTGGAACTTGCTCACTGCTTGTGTTGGCTGGTATGATTCTGGCAGGGAATCCAGGTGCCTGCTATAAACACTGGTGGACAGATCTAAAAGATAATTGATTGTGGTTTTAGCAGCAGAGGTCTTTGGCGACTTGTTAGAGCAGCAAGAGAAATGTACATGTACAAAATGCATATATTTGTGATTAGTTCTTAGCTTTGTGTTAGAGGCAACAAAGATACTGAGATTACTATGGTGATATATTATTTATGATTTATTAAAGCTTGCCTGAGGATTCAGAAGGCAAAGTCAGCCACAAGCCATAGAAACCAGGCACACAACTTTAACCCATCAGCCAGAAGCTAGTACACATCTGTAATTTTAGGACTCAGGATTAAGAGGTAGACAAATCTCTGTGAGTCCAAGGCAACCCAGATCTACACAAGACTGATCCAGTCCCAAAGAGAAACAGCTCACACAAAGATGATCTCAGCACCTGGGATCACACAACTTTAATCCCAGCGTTAGGGAGGTGTATAAGACTTGAGCAAGGTCTTAGTATTGAACATTCATTCTCCAGCCACACTGAGGATAGGAAGACATCTAGTCTCGGGATTCTCCAGGTATGCTGAGGAGAGGCAGCAGGATCAGCTCTTTCAGCCTAAGGTAGCAGTAGTGACTGACTACTTTGCTTTTCTGATCTTCAGCTTGAAGCTTGAACCCCAATATCTGTCTCTGGGTCCTTTTATTTATTGTGTTACAGATACAGATTAAAGTATAATTTTGGACCTAGAGTATTAAAACAGGAACTCTTGATTCAAGCACTTGGCATCTTTAGTTAATTATTTATATTACGTTTATATAATTAAAAATTTTGACTCAGCGCATGTATTAATTGGAAAAATAATTTGTTGTCATTAAAGCAGAATTTTATTGATTGGTTTTAACATCAGTGTTGGAGAATTTTTATATATAGTTGTTTTTAATCAAGGTTACTTGAATTAAGACCCAGTTAGTCACCTGTAGTTCTCTGTTGAGGATATTTAAAATGTCCAAAAAGAGTCAGGTAAGTTGATTTGGTCATTGAGGTGCGCATGCTGCCCAAGGCCCCAGAATGTTGGGCCGTGGTTGCTGCGGGCAGTAAATTCCCTAGAGAATGGGGACCAAAGCTGAGGTGTTTTCTGAGTGTCCTCCCTCCCGGAAGTGTGGCTTTGCAAATCCAACCATTGCTAGCCAAGGACTGCTGTGGTGACAAAGTGGATTAATGCAATTCTTGCTCATAAGAGTGGAAACTTGCAGGCTGATGAGACGGCTCAGTGGGTAAAGGGCTTGCTGCACAAGAACAAAGACCCACGTCTAGATCCCTGCACCTACACAAGAGCCTGGCACAGCAGCGTGTCAGCACATCTGTGTAGCCCCGGCAGATCCCCAGAATGCGCTGCACAGGCAGCTGCTGAGCTCTGAGTTCGGTGAGAGACCCGCCTCAAAAACCAACATGGAGAGCAATAGAGGAGAGCATCTGACGTCAGCGCCTGGCCACCATGTGCATCTCACACTTGCATATAGCAGTGCACACGCGTGACACACACACACACACACTTTAAAAGATTGAAAAGGGGAGTTGCCTCACAGTTGATTTGGCAGCCTCAGTGGTTTGTGAAATCAGGTGTTCTGCAGGGCACCCCTCTGTGGAAGGCCAGAGACGGAGCCTTGGCTTCGGTAATGGCTGGTTTGTTTGCAGAGGTGGTTGCAGTAGCGTAGCATGCTGTAGAGGTGCATGGAAACGAATTCGGTGCAGCTGGAAGCAGTGATGGGCTGCAGAGAGGAGTCCTACAGGCCTCATCAGCTGCTTTGGGATCACTGCTGCTGTTTTAGACATGTCTGCACTAAAGTGCACTGTTCTTGGAGTCCTGTGTGACAATGTTCAGTGGTATTTATGTTTTTATGACTGGCTGACGACATGTTCTAGTTAGGGAAAGCGTGGCTGCTGGGACCTTTACTGTGAGAGGAGATACTCTTTCCATTCCCAGCTGCCCCCGAGCTCCTCACACGGTCTGCTCTCTTCCTCTCTACTCCCCAAGTAGCCTCTCCCCCTCAATCCTGTGCTTCTGCTTGAGCATCTTTGTTTGTTAAAATGGGCCTCAGTGGCTTCTACTGAGTTGAGCTCTCATCTCTCGGGACTGTCCCCTCTCTGCCAGCCTCATCCCCAAGTCCTTTCTGAGCTCAGAGACTGATGTGCACTGGTGCCGCGTCAGTTTGACTGGCTCTCCTCAAGGGCCGCATGCCCGCATTTGTGCTCTCCTGCTGCCTAGCAGGACGGCTTCCATGCTTAAACAGGTACCCTCGCCTGCCTTGGGCCTGGCCTGGAACTGACCGCAGGCTATCCCAACGGTCTGCCAGCCAGTGAGGAAAGAAACACTTGGAGGGTGTCAGATGCCTGCTGTGTGGCAGTGGCAGCTATCGGCTAACGCACGCTGATGTTGGTGAGGTAATCTG